TCGACTTAATTTCATTTTTGTTGTTTTTTTCAGCTTGAAGAAGTTGTGATTTCCATAATCCTCTTTGTTGTTGTCTTTATCTCAACTGAATAACCAAGTTATCTGCATCACTTCTCTCTGATTTTTTCTTCCTCTCTAATTTATCACTTTTTAATCTCTTCACTTGTGTGGAAACAAACATTTTAAACAGGCTTTTATGCCGAGTGACGTGTGATTAATGCTGAGAGGAGCTAATCAAGTCAGATGGAAATCTTCTATCTCCCAAATGCCTGGTTTCCCCACTAACTGAAAAACAACATCCAAGAGCAACTTTTAGATGAATTAATGTGCGAGAAATGTAGAAAGTAATTTAGTGACAGCGACATGTGGAGTTCATTACTGATAAATATGGAACGCAACACTTGTTTTGACACTGATGAGGGTGAAAACACATATTAAAAAAGGATGAGCAACATCTGCTGATGAGGAGAGGTAAAGTTATACTGTGAGGAGAACCAGTGGAGAACTAGGCAGGTGTCTTAAACCCCTTTCCCGCCAAATGATCTGTGATTCTTGAGCTGGAATTGTTCAGGATTCTTAGAACCTTGATGCTATCAAGTGAACCAGCCTGCGTTTCCACCAGTTTTAAGTGGAATCATTATAATCAAGGATGTGTCGTCAACAGAAGGCGTTGCACAGTGCACAACAGAAGTAAACAGTAACAGCAAAGTCGCTGATTGCACTGATTACCTAATAATAAATAATAAATAATAATAATGAATAAATAAAGTTTTATTTTTGCCCTCCCTCCCCCCCAAAAGAAAAAGCAAGCATGGACCAACTATTAATGAAAGCACTGCACAATTTTTTTTCTCTGGACATTTTCTCACTTGACTTCCAACCCGTCATCACAGCTAACCCTTCAGGTTAAGAAAAACCTGCATTTTTTGGTTCCAGCTGAGAACCACTTTTTCAGGTTACACACCAATTTATTTTTGGTCTAAATGCTCTGAATACTTCAAAATTAGGCACGGTAACAAAAACGGAGCCCGTTCCATGAAGGCTGAAAAGTGGTTTTATTGAGTGACCAGTGTTAGTTTACTAATGCCGTGTTGTTTCACCTTACAGTGTTTATGAAAGTTTGTTGTCACATATCAGGTAAAACCAAAAAATTGCAGTGATTGAAGACTGGGAAGAGTACTGATACTCACAGTCCCAACATGTGCAAAGATCAGCTCTCTGAGACAGTTGTATTTGCATTGAAATAAATCCAAATTACATTTACAGTGTAAACCAAAAAAATAGTGTTTATGTTTATTTATTTGCTCCATTCTTATTATGTGTACCGTTTGTAGAAATTTGAAAGCTATGATTTTTCAAACATATTCTTAACTGTTTGAAGCATATGTTTTGGATTATACTGCTGGGATTAGAGGCCGTATGCCTTGTGTGGGAATTTCTGTCATAACCGATGTGCCTGCAAAACTCCTGTGAAATACAGTCATCATCTTTATTAGTTTCTGATGAAAGTGCAGGCATATGACTCGTTCAGCCATTCATACATCTTTTAATGAAATATTTTACAAATCATGCTACGCACCTGGCAGGCCAACGTCTTCTTTTATTTGTTGCCATGCGATATTGGTCCCGTTTTTGTCAGGTAATGTTCGAAGGACATATTCCAAACTACCAGATGGTCTCCATGGCTGCAGATAGTTTCTATCAGGTTTCTATCCACCAGTAAAGAAAAACAAGAAAAAGCAATATCAAAAAGAAATATCTCTATGTGTGAATCAATGCAAAACAGTGGCATAAGATATTTTCTGAGTGTGAATATGCATCAAAATTTAGTAGGCGGCATGGGATGGTAATCGTGAGGCTCACTGGAAATATGTACATCTCAGAACTGGAATCAGTTACTTGATATGCCTGAAATTAGTTTGACAAGGTCAATATTTATCTGCGATGCTTTTTAGTGATGCTTTTCTTAATAATGAAAAGCTCAATGTTGGGTTTGTTTAGAGAATTTGTGTCTGTTTAGGACAAAAGACAGTCAGCTGATGATATATGGGTGAAGCAAAAACTGTATACTTTGATAATGATAAAAACTAAATAAGGTACAGAGAATTGTGTTGTATATAATTTGTCTAAAAATCGATTTTACCTTCGACTGTTGAAACTGGATGGAAAGAAAAGCGGATCTGTCCAATGTGCTTTTTAAATGACATAAAAGATGAGTTTTGTTTTCTACTGTTTTTTAAATTGTGAACTGTGTGATGATTTGTGTAAGAAGATTAAGAATAAATTTTGATTTTTTACATATGTAAAATTTACAAAGACTGAGAGATCTGTTCACACTTGAAATGTGAAAATTAGCCAGTTATCTGGAAACAGGCAGAAAAAAATTGAGTGAATATGTAAATGTTTGGTAATTTCTTGTGTGAACAGTTTGTTTGGAATGATGTTGTTTTTTTTTTTTTATTTGTTTTAGTTTCTTTTGTGTTTAATTTAATTTCCTTTTCAGCATGTTTGGTTTTGTACATGCAAGACTGAAGATGATTACAAAATGATAGTGTCTTGTGATCTCATATGGAATGGGCCAAAAAAAGAATTAAAAAATAAATGACTGAATGAATGAATGAATGAATGAATGAATGAATGAATGAATGTATGAATTGCTAACTGCGATATACACTAACACTAAATTGAGCACATTTTTGCTACCTCTTTCAATACAAAAATAACTTGAAAAGGTAAATGATGCTGTTGCAGTTAAGTTACATTACTTACATCTTATCTTACTATATAATGACAAAAACTCTGTCTGTGTCTGTTCCATGTTTTTCTCCTCACTGACTTGGTCAATCCATGTGAAATTTGGCACAGTGGTAGAGGGTCATGGGAGGATGCGAATGAAGCAATATTACATCAATTGGCCTAAGGGGGGCGCTATAGCAACTGATTGAAATTGCAAACTTTGAATGGGCATATCTCATGCCCCGTATGTCGTAGAGACATGAAGCTTTGCACAGAGGTGCCTCTCCTCATGAGGAACACATTTGCCTCAAGAACCCATAACTTCCGGTATACAGATTTTCCACCATTTTGAATTTTTTGAATAACACTTCAAATCGATCTCTTCCTAGGAAGTTTGACTGATCTGCATGAAACTCAGTGAACATAATCTAGGGACCAATATCTAAAGTTCCCTCTCGGCAAAAGTTGGAAAACTTACTAAAACTGAGCTTCTATAAGGCAATGAATATTGCGGAGGGCGTGGCTCATCACATAAAGGTGTATAATATCTCAAGGGTTTCACTGATCGACACGCAACTTTGTAGGAATATGACCACACATAATCTGAGGGGACCCCTCCATTATTGACCCCATCAAACAAAATGGGGGCGCCAGAGAGCTAATTTCTTATCTAGGCCTAACCGCCATATGGATTTTCACTAAACTTGGTAGATATGTAGAACAGGACGCCTCAAGGTGACTGGAGAAATTTAACTGTCTCGTTTTTTTGCCTCCGTGCTGGCATTAGCAGTGGCTGCAGGCATATATTTTTGTGGTGTCTGTCCACATGTACATGTGAATGTATATGTATTCCTGTGAAAGTGATATCTCAAGAGCGCTTTGAGGGAATTTCATCAAAGTTGGCACAAATGTGCACTTGGAATTAAGGATGAGCTGATTGGATTTTGGTGGTCAAAGGTCACTGTGACTTCAGAAAACATGCTTTTGGACATACAAATTCTTCCACTAATTGTGATTAAATGTCACAGACATGTCTAATAGAATAATAAGAAAGAAGTGATGACATTTTATATCCAAAATGTCAAAGGTCAACTTCACTGTGACATTGTAATGTTTTGCAAAACACTTTTTTGCCATTATTTATTACAGCTGGCTTAAAATAATCAATGTATCCAATTCAAATCTATCTTAATTTGAATGACCTGATATTGATTAATAAAATCTGAGATCGATCGTTTAATATTCACTTCTTCCCACAGATGTGTGAAGCTTTAACCCTGTTAATCTCACTGGTAGTAAATGTACAGTATTAGCTATCAGATAATCTCTTTCATATTTTAGCAAAAACTTCAGTTGTAACTGCAATATCTCCAATCAAATCAACATCAATTTCAAATCGAACTGAAACAGAAATCGAATCGAATTGGGACCTTGTTAATCGAAATCGAATCAATTCAGGAAATCAGTGGTGATACCTAGTAGTGATGGCCAAATGAAGCCTCATGAAGTATTTTTTTTATTTTATGAGCCCACTAGATGGCGCTCTTGGTTTGTAGAGAGAGGCTCAAAGAATGACAATTCAGTGTGCTTTCAACCTTTTGCTGAACAAAAAGTGCCATCTAGTGGGCTCATAAAATGAAGAAAATGCTTCATGAGACTTCATTTGGCCATCCCTAATACCTAGCCCTATTATTCATCGTCATTATTCATCTTAGGAACAGAAGGCAAAACATTTGGTCAGATACTGAATTATTGACACTAATCTCGGGTGTCCACCTTGAAAACGTGCTAACTGTATCTTTTCTGTGCTGCTGGATAGAAGATGTGTATGAAGCATTCACTACCTTCTTTGCAGCAACATCCATAGTTGAAGCTTTGTCAGCTCCCATATCTACATATGAGTTTGGACAGACATGGATGTAAACTGTAACTGTAAACCAACTCCCTTTTTTAAGAGCACTGCTCACAGTGCCAACCTTCTCTCTGAATTTCTTCCATCATGTGTTATGAAACATTAAAAATCCCACATCCACTTTTGAAATCATTATTTCCATTAATCCTAAAACTATAAGAATTTCAACCTACACATGTCCTTTTTTTGCAGGAGGGTTTCATAATTCAAGTGTGTGTGACTAAAAGGACATGATTTTTAAGTTTTAAGAAGTTAAAACATCTCCAAAATTGGAATTACAAAGTTTTCACAGAGGAATAATGTTAATCAGATTTAAACTAAATAAACGGAAACTGTTTTCTTGTCATTGCAGATCTTGTCAGATCCTCCTCAGTGGGACGTATATCATTTCCCAGAATGCCACAGGTGTGAGCTCTCCAGGTGACCTCGCTGACTGACCCCCAACATCCCATCGGACGCCTGCCGACTCTCGACCAATCAGCAACTAGTCACCTTCCTGAGAGGTGCCATGGCAACCACACCTGCGTAAAGCATCAGCAGTCCCCAGCTGCTGTACTGAGGACACTGAGGAGAGAAAAAGAAGAGAAGAAAAGGATTCTGGGTGTTTTTAATGGACTTGGTTTTGGAGTCACAGAGGAACTTGGGAGTTTGTTTGACTTTAAAAAACAAGGATTTTTCTTCTCCTGGATCCTGTTTGGGTGATTGGATGCAAAGAATACAATAACTAGCAGAACCCTGAAGCCTTGACACACTGGATGTAATGTAACCTGTGAAAACTGAACAAAAAAAAAGACGTTTTACAATTTTTTACAAGGTTTTGCAAAATGTTGTCTCACAGGAGGTGACATGCGGCTCATTGTGCCATGTAGCTGGGACGACCTGCAGAAGCCTCTCAGAAACTTTTCCTCTGAACGCGGCCATTTTTAACAAGCTGAGAGCTGCTGGATGTATGAACACACACACTCATCAAACCGAAACAAAACACACACTCGATAAGCTGAGCGAGGAGTTATAAAGTGCTACCAGGTTATTATCGGCCCCGGCGCTTCCTATTTTCGTCTTTAATCTTTGTATTCTGAGTAATCATCTTTTTAATTAATGGCGACGGCGGCGTGAAATCTCCCCCCTTGCCACCCCCTCCTCCCACACTCTCCATCCCGTCACCACAACCGCCGCCAGAGACACCTGAAACCAATTAGCAACAGCAGATCTAGATGGGGATTAGACACAGGGAGAGCAAGAGAGATTAGATACACAAAGAGGGTAAAAGGAGAAGAGTGAGAAAAAGAGGCGAGGGATCGAAAAGGTGCCAAAAGCAGAGACGGAGGAGTTAAAAAGGATCCCGTCAGTCATTCTGGGTAATCAATTGGAGGGCGGAGCAGAGGGTGGAGCAGGGGGAGGATATGGCGAGATCAGGGTGGCAGCAGACAGCAAAGATAACAACTAGTTGTGAGTCAGCAGGTGGAGTTGACTGTAGGAGCCCCGAGTCTTGACCATCCAGGACTCATTGTCATTCCTCGCATTGTGCGGGTGAGCGAGGGAGGGAAGCACAGAGAGAGAGAGAGAGACAGAGAGGAGAGACTTTTGGCTGGTCGCCACGATCAGGGCCAATTAAGAGAATTTGATTATATGCCTTGATCTTGGCAGTCAGGTAGAAAAGCAGACAGAGGGAGAAAGAGGAGACCGAGCAGGTGCCACCGATACACACCATTATCTCAGTCCGTCTGTAAATGAGTCTGTCTCTGCCCCCATCCTGTGTTTGCTTCGTCTCATCCACAAACCAGATCTGTCTTCTTGGAGAGGCCTGTCGAAACAGGCGAGGCTTCTTGAGAGAGAAATAGGGGAGAGGAAGACGAGAAGGAAAAGCCCTTTTTCTGCCTCAAATGTTAATTTTTCACGTTCTTGTTTAGCGACAAGAATCCCTTTCCCCTCCGTCCAGGCCAGACAGATTTACTCAATCTGAAGGACATTTTTTTCCCCCTTCAGTTTGCCCAAGTCTCATTCCTCTTTCCATATTTGTCTTCTTCTTCCCAATGTGGACATGTCCTATCTAGAAGTTTTCCTGCAGCCTCCACGATCTCCATATCAAGTGTGAGATAAAAAGGGACTGATAGACAAAGAAATAAAAAGGAGAAAGACAGCAAGGGACCAAATCTGGAGAGGACGCAGCAGAGACTTTATTTCCTCAGTCCCAGACACCCCGAGGCTCCTGCCAACAGTCCCTAAAGCTTCAGTTTCCCTTTTTAAAATTCGTCTTTTCCCCAGAGTTGTTTGCTCTCCTCCTTGTGGATCGTATACTGTGCACCGCCATCCATCAGTCCCTCCATCCATCTATCCTGGACCCTGCTGAGACTAAACTGGCTTCTGTTATCAGAGGGAATCTTTTGATATCAGCTCCTGGTGTCGTCATCTTCATTCTGTGAGTACCTCGGTCTTTCTCTTCTCTGTCCCTTCAGCAGTCTTTCTCAGTCTCTTCCAGCAGCTCAGCGGCCTCTGGGCCTCCTCTCTCTTTCCTCCTCCCTTTTTTTCTCCCCGAAGTCTCCCCCATTCTGTCTACAAAAGATTGATGCAGCTGACGGACAAACACTTATGATATGATTATGATGATAACTTTTGCAGTTGTCCTGACTGACTGGCCGTGAATCTCTGGCGTCTTTGGACTTTCTTTAGTTCCTTTGCTCTGCCTCAATGGCCAGTGTTAAAGTCCAAATACAGTAGTTGCAACTGTGGATTGTATCTCTGTATGAGTGTGAAGACCCACTGAATGCAGTGTGGCATGAGGCTACATTTCACCATATCTATTTAGTATGTAAACTGACATTTAAAGCAGGAGTCTGATGATGATTTTCATGCAAAGGTCATCTGAAAGACAGACATAGAAGGGACCCACTATTAGATATATTGTTAAAAATTTACTTGCAGATGAAAGTGGGTCTACAATAATGTGTAAGGTGGCCTTAAACACCATGCACAAACATGCTTTTATGGTGCATACACTATTAAGCTAACAAAATAATAATTATTGGCAGATTCAAAATACATCCTGTTTGTTTTTGAGATCGACGCTATCTCAGAGTCTCTTGCTCGAAAAGTTACAAGACGATCTGTTGTGGCTCACAAGAACATCTGTATACTTATGGACAAGTGCCAGACGGTGATTTAGCGTTAGCTAGCTAACATGATTGCACAAGGATACATGGGTAACAGTTATCCTGTCATCAGAAGAAAATGTTGGCATTGTGCATATTTGCATAACATGGATATGTTACGTTTGCCATTTTCATACCTATCATAAAGTTTCTAAAGTGACGTAGTATATGAGCTGACGTTGTCTTTGGGAGGATTGTGGATGGTGTGGCACCTAGGCAAGCTGCAGACCACTGTTTTAGACGAACAAACAATTAAACTGGTTCTCTGTGTTTCCAGCAAGGACTTTGCCACAAAAAACAGCTGTTCATTACCAAGACATCCCTTTGTTTCTGGTCAGGATAGTACCATGGAAAGCGTATTCTTGCTCCCAACTTGACACAAATCACTGCTTGATTGGTGGACTTTCACATCTATATATTACCTGCTAGGTATCCTGGGTGCATCTGTTGTTGAGGTTCTGGGATGTCCTGCCTGTACATTGTGTCAAAATACACTTCCATTTCACAGGAAATACAGTTCAGTTCAGAAGAACAGTTTCTGCTCGTTAGATGCTTACAGTGTTTTTCAAAATGAACTTACAACACTGGCAAAACACCTTTTATTTCATTGTGCAACAAAAGCACATGTTTAAAAAAACATCATGGTTTGGCTAAATATTCATATGGGAGGCAAACACCAGGCTCCTGGGTGAAAGTCTGGTGTTGTTGTATCCATCCACCTCCTCTCCCACCCGCCCTATAGGGACTTTCCAGGTCCTTAAATTATGTTGTTGTTTGGTGGCGCCGTGAACTGATGCCAACAGCATAACATACTGCTACAAAAGAAGGCCTGTTTTTCGTTGGTGTCTGAAGTAAAAATCTAACTACATGTTAACCACAGTGTTGTTGAAACACAAAGTATAAACATATAGAGGCATCGGGTGGCTTATTGGGTAGAGCAGGCATCCCATATAAAAGGCGATGTCCTTGCAGCAGCGGCCACAGACTCAATTCCAGCCTGCAGCCCTTTGCTGCATGTCATCCTCTCCGTCTCCTCCCCTCACACCCAGAATGTCCTAAGAAAGCCAAAAAAAAAAAAAAAAGTTTAAGAGTATCTGCTTCATAATAACATACAAATGTATGTGCGGTTTGCAGAAATGAACAATGCCAACATCTATTCTGGTGGTTGGATTAAAACATAGCAGCTTCACATTTCAAAGTACATGAGTGCATGAAGTGCAAGTAGTGCTGGGTGAGGAGGTTTAGTCTTTACCTGCTGTGGAGACATGTCTGTGGGGGAAAAGATTATTGCAGCTGTTGTATGTCCCTCACAGGATAATTCCAGTTCAGTTCAACCTGGCATATTTCTATGGGTCGTGCTAAATTTTGCGCTCACCAACTGCTTTGTAAAGTTTCAGGGAAACAGAGACTTTCAGGACCAGCTGTGCGAGCCTCTTACAGCCTTCCAAACAAACATGCTTTATACAAGAATCATTTCCAGCTCCGGTCTCTAAGCCCAACTGAAGGTAAACACAGAAAGTAGCTTCCTAGAATAGCCACTGTGGCTAAACACATAGGGACTTATTGTACATGTCAGCATGATTAATTTACACTATGTTTGACTATTCTGAATCTGTGTAAGCTCTAACAACATGAAGCTTCAGGTCCTAGGCCTTGTTGGGGGTATTTTTACTGCCTTTACTTTAAAGCTCATATCACAGTCATTATCAAGGCTACATACACATGCTATATCTTTTTTTTTTTCAGGACAATCTGGGCTATCCAGATTTATCCATCATTCCATGTCCTTCTATGTGCCTGTATTTTATATTAATTTTTATATCAATGAAAAAAACAAATCCGTGTTACTAAATTCTTACATTTTTACATGTATCTCAGCATAGCAAGTTGGAAGAAGACATATTCTGCCATATATGAAGAGGGGAGACTCTCTGGAATCTGGCAATATAAGAACCATGATGCTGGGACATTCTATCACTTCACACAAAACATGTGGTTTGTGCCAGGCAGACATGATTGCCAGTATTTTTTCATTATTGCAAGAAATTCCATTGACTCATTCACAAGTCAAAAATGTGTTTTATCTGAAAGAAACATGCAATATTTACATCTAACATCATTGGTGTCCCCTCAATGTATATGGTGACTACGGCCCTGTCAGCATGCATTAGGCTACAGTTGTCTGTGTGCGCAAAGGTGAAGTGGCTGGTCTTGTCATACAAAGTTTGATGGAGTGTCAACTGGACAATATGGAGATATTTGCATCTTGAAAGCCGGACTACAAATGTGGATAGACAGGCAGAAACACACGCAAGCCTAAGACGTGGTAAGATACGATATTCCTCACTATATGAAGTGACTGATAACAAGATCTGTATAATGGATTGTAAAGAAATTTGTCAGGTTTTTATTTTGTAGACAATTGATCTGTATTTATAGCATGATGGGATGACAGCACAATGATGTGTGTGGTATCATTGGAAAGCTCTGCTCCTGCGCTTTCATGTGATATGCGTGGCATTTCGGTGCAAGCCTGCATATGGGAGTAATCCATCCAACAGTAATGTGTGTGCAAAGCTGTATGAAAGCTCTGTTATACATCATTTTAGTGTAATTTTATCATTTTTTTTCGCTGTGAAAACATTGGACTACTGACACGTGCTTGTTGGAAAGCTACGGTTTTGCTGTTTGTAAGCTTGTATAATTTACACATTTAATCTGTCTGCATTTTTTTGCCAGGCCATCCCCCTCGCCTTGTTAAGTATTGCCACATTTAGTGATTACCGCTTTATCTTCTTCAATGAGCTCCATCAGCATGGTTTGTTCCACCGGAGAGAGGAACCTGGCCCTCTTTTTTCCTTTTCTTTTGCGACATAATATCCTCTTTTCAACAGTCGTCTGTTCTGGGCTGCTTGTATTCTCCATGTGCGGACTCTGTGCGCTCAGTGGGAACTTATTACACCCTGGCTAGAGTTAACACTGATTAGACGAGACTGAACTGTGTTAGGGCAGGGGTAGGAAACCTGTGGCTCCAGAGCCACATGCAGCTTTTTGCCCCTCTCCAGTGGCTCCATGTGGCTTTGGAAGACAATTAATAACTAATTTTTTTTTAAGTTGAATTTCAATATTTCATTGTCATAGTCCTTGAATGATTCTCACATTCTCAGGTGTAAAAACGTGTAGCCTATACACAAAATAAAAAATGCTTTTCCATTTCACCAACTAAATGTGCGTCAAACGGCCTATCACCTTTTCCTTTAATTTTTAACCTCACTAGTGGTGGCTTGTCTTGGATCTCCCTAGCTAAGCTAGCCATGGATTCCAGATCAAAAAAGTCATTTGATTTTACCACCAACCCTGCAAAGTTAAAGTACCAAACAATCATAAAAACCATAAAAACCTCAATTAATAGCCCGGGCTATTAATTGCTTTAATCACTGAAATCCCAGACCTATATTTAGAACAGGTTTCTCTATGGGACAGGCTTTTGATTCCTTTCACACAATACTGTTGCTCCCTGTTGAATTTCAGATTGGGAAATACAATCAAATTGTTTAAATAAACCAGTATGAATATTACCTGTATTAAAATTACTCTTCAGATAACATATCAACTATGAATCATTCATTTGATCTAACTCTGACAGACAATGCATTAGAGAGAGAGTGAGTCATGTCACTCGAGGATTAGCTACAGCACCGGGCATACCAACACAACACCACCTTATCCTGTTAAAACAATACTCACAACTTGGATTAAGTTTTATGAAAAAGCCTTTTGATTATTTTGATCTGAGGACCCTTATGGACTAAAGGAATATGAATAACTTACTGGGTAATCAAGGAATGGACACATAATTTGAAGTGGCCAACAACCCGGTTTTATACATCCAAAGAAGTATCAAAAAAATGAAATGCCTAGCAACCAGACCAGGTGTCTAATTGAGGCAGGCATTTGTCAAAATGTGTAGCCACACTGGGCTAGTAAAAGGGACTGGGCATTTAATTGGGACTAGGCTTTTGATTGAAGATTTAGGGTAGCCCACTGTAGAGTAGCCACCTTGTGGTAAAACGTATTAATAGATGCTCATTTGGAACTCTTAGTAGTGTTGGTGGGCAAATTTAGACTTACTGTTACCTTCATTATATGGCTTAACTATGTTTTGTCGTTCTAAGCAGATTATTCGAGAGCTTTTTCAGCAAAAAATGGCTCTTATGATAGTAATGGATGCCGACCCCTGTGTTAGGGGAACAGCTTAAGTCTTAAGTGG